CGTAATAATAACCCTTCTTTCTTCTGCCGGCTTTCGTTTCGAATCGATCGCCTTCAGATCTGTCTCCAAAGGAATACCACACCGGAGCCCTTAATGCGCTATGTTCTTTGTAAAAGTACGTCTTGTGGTGCTGTTACAAGATTATAACTTGTGTTATTCTGCAATCAAATTTCATGTTTTTATTCTAGACCTTCCCGTTGATGGCGGCCTGAAAAAGAAACAGGTGGTAAATTCGGCCAATGCGTTTGGGCGAACATGCGTGATAAATGCGAACGGACGATCCATACTTGAGCAGACCCTGGTAAAATCCTATCTACGTGCTAGTGTTACAGAAATGCCAGTTTTATATAGCAAAATAACCCATTTGGCTTTATAAGGATTCCCTTCTAGAACGTCTAATTTACTTGGAGGTTAGTGTTACTATGATTGAAAACAGTTATATTATCCAGATGTAGTTCTCGCTGTACTTAAGTTAATTATAGCCGGTACGCACGTAACTGTCAGGATTATTATATAAATGTTAGTAAACGAAGTCTTCAGCGGTTTATCGTCGTATAGGTGTTTTAAATGTTTAGCTCTTTAATAAACCTTAGTGTAATCTTTGAGCTTCTGGTCTAAATTTTAGAGTTTGATATATCACCTCGTCGCGAGCTACGGGTCACTCGGTTTTAGCGAATTTTACCGACCGCCACAGCGTTATTGCCCAAACCGTCATTACTTGTACGATCGTTAAATCGGAAAAGGCCATATAGTTCGGTTGATTTCTATATTATGAAGCATTCTGCAGTAGATTCAGGCTTCTCTCTAGGTGTGCCACTGTGAATGTTCCTCGTAAACAAGAACACTCCAACTGTAGCTACCTTCTGAGAATTTTTTTTGTGAAACTTACACGCCGATATTGGCCTAACGCAGACTTTGGCAAATAGACCAGAGTAAGCGATTGCTCTGATAGGACAACCGGCCAAAGCAGAGTCACTGAACGTATTTATATGGCGGCAGTCGATGACCTACGAATCGGCGCGCAGTGTCATGGGAGGCCAAAGGTTGGTTTTGTTCACGCCCAATATGGAATAAGAAGCGGTTCCGTTAGTTGTATTTATTAACATGAGCAGCACAACGTCAACGTCCAGACGGGACACACCCATCGTTGGACTAAAACAACGCTTAGAGCTTACCGCTCTATTCTTCGTTTTTCCCGACATCCCTCTTTTCATTAGCTAGCGGTCATTTGGTGATATATTTGACTTCTGATATTGTGTAGATGAGGGAGGCACGTGCTAAGGTCATTGGCAGAAGACAAAGTTTTACCGAAACGAGGCCATACAGCCCCACTAACTTTTATTGCCTGAATTAGGATTGAGAGTATATCTAACGTATACAACTATTACCTGCTCTTACAAATACTATTATGTTTTTTAGGGCATAGGTATTGCGCAATGTGTATTCATGGTAATCGTAGAATCGTGCGCTGGGGGGTAGCAACCAATACGGGCCTCAAAATAGGTAGCTGTTTACGGCTGGCGACGCTCTGCTTGATGCTGTGTATTTATGTTTAACTAATCTCTTTATGCCGATCGTTCAGATACAATTCCAGCTACTTCATAGCTAAAGAGAAAGATTCAATGGAAAGGAGGCGACGGTAGACACTGATACCATATCACAATTTTTCCAATGATATAAATACATATATTGCAATTTTTTTTTTAATTTATTGAACTAAATAATTCCAGTCGATATAAACCTGTAAGAGTGCTTTAGCTCTCGTGATTATTCGTATTATTATTTTTAGTTCTTGAATGCTACGACATTGAGCTGTCTTGAAAACGCCCGTCTTATTTATGTTTTTTCGCACACGGCAAAGTTAGGATTCAAGTTATCTACTTACAAAATCGTATTACTTTTTGTTAATTTCTCGTTTACAGAAAGAATTGTTTCCGTAATGTATGTTCCACGTTGCCAAATGTCTCTCGCCGTATGCCATCTGCATGGGATGAATAAATCAGCCAGATTTTAGACGTCCGTCCGTCATCCGAAAAACTGCGTTCCGATTAAGAGACCCTCTATTAAAAATAGAACCAGGCACAATTTACGACGCCTGCAGAATTGACAAGCAGTGTCCATCAAACGTTTACCAACGTTACGTATATCGGTACTGCTAACACACTCCTACGGTCATATGCGTATAAAAAGGTAAGTTACGAGGACGGCCGCCTTAATTCTATTGGTTGCTAGTTAGATGGCTCAAAAAATAGATAGCTTGTATTGAACTAAATTTGTCAATGCATGATTGGCCACCAGAAGCGCGCCTGGAGCTCGATGTAATACCGAATGCCTGGCCTACCACATCTGACGCTTTTGCGAAGAGCGTTGTGCAGACGTCAGCTCCCTAGCGATAATTAATAGCTCATTCACAGTGAACACTGCGCGTATCAGGAAAATCGTTACATAAAGTTCCATGGGCTAAGTAGTAGGGTTGTAAATGAAAGACAGCCTTTACATGACAGGCCTTTGCATTTCTGTATGGTAAACATATACAAACATAGACTTAGGATTTCAAGAACTCGACTGGATTAGACCTTAAGCAATCTAAAATAGACCAAAGATATCTAGACAATAAAAATACATATTGAGACGCTAGTAAGGAACGGTTTTGGCTGATCGAATAACGCGGCAGCAGCAGCATATTCTACTGTGATCAGTCTAAGTTTGCCGAAAAAAAGGAACCCCACGCTAGGTAGTCATCAGAAAGTGTCAAAGAATATCACAGCTTGACCGTGACGGATATACGACCTGGGCAATGAGGGGAGAATTTTTAACAACGAGAATCACGAGTTGAGTGTAACCCTGCCATGTTGCAATTGAAAACAAATATGATTTTATATTATTTTTACCACAAAAGTAACAAACTGTACATTTCAGCATTAACTCATCAAAGCTTCAACTCCCCAGAACCACAGTTATGTGTCTGTCAGGCCGAATCTGAAGACCCTTGAGACTGTTAATCTTTACTAGCGTAATTTCACAATAATAGAAAAATTCTAATTAAGGGGAAACATGCGTGCAGGTTGTTGGCGATTATACCCGTTGGATTGCGATTGGGGTCAGGTATTTATGAAAACTAGAGCATAAGCTAGATCATGTTTATCACATACCTATGTATCTCGATGGTCCTGCTTCTACAGGCCTTTTACGGAGGTGAAAGCTTCCCTTAGAAAAAGGAGGGCCGCATCGACTGCTTTCAATGATAATTTCCAGTCGATTCAAATGGATTCAGTTCAATCGCCTTGTGCGCCTTCTGAATTTCTATAAATGAATGTGAAAAAAATATAACACTTCAAGGTATTAAAAATTAAATCATTATCTCTATGTTATATCACAGCTAACCGTAAATAAATGTATTGGTGCAATCGATTGCTTTAGTACCGATATTGTAAGCTATTTTTCTCGTACCGCCATTCGTTGGTATGCCTAGAGGCGTGAACTCAACTATACAGTCGCTGAAGGTGTCCCTTCTTTTTTGCGCCCCCTGGACGGTGATGCAGTTTGGACGTAGCTTGAGGAGAAGGCGGTAACGTAATCGAAATCGAATCCGGCGTCATCAATGCAATCGGTTTGCCCTGCATTCACTGTGCTACAAACCAGCGTACGAGTACATCGGGTGGAATGCGTCAGCCAAATGGAGGTGTAGCCTGTGGCAAAATGTTCAATCCTGACTCCTCTAGGGCCTGACTCAGTCAAACCGTTAGATAATTTATCACTTCATCGATAAATTTCCATTTGAACCTTTCAATCTCAGGTCGGAGTGTTCGCTAGGTACCTGAGCCAAGGCAAATTGTTCGCACTTTCAAAAAGAAAATTTCAGTGGGAAGTGGTCAGTTTGGCCCCAGCATAGGTCATAAATCACTTCGGAATATCTATGCGCTCGAATTTTGTCATCTTTTTATGACATGTGCTTGCCAGGACGATTCAATCGGTTGATGCATAGACGCCACGGCAACTGAAATTAATTTGCAGCACAAGACATTATATATCACAATTGCTGGCATGAGTTTATGAAACGAACGGTATTAGTGAATAGCATGATATAGTTCACCTCTCAGGCCCACTGGGTAACCTGTTACAGAACCATCATTTCCAGTTCTGCGCGACATGTTTCGCGTTACTTGACGTAAAAGGACCTTTGTCCCCGTTCTTCAATGTTCTACAGCATTCCTGTGGGACCGCTCTCTTTTGTCGCATCACAGCGTTCGCCTAATTCATCATGGGGTAGGCAAAAAAAATTGCGAGCTGCGGAAAACAAAGAGTGGCTTCCGATCTGATTTTTGTATCCGCGTTGTTTTATTTACATACACCATGTTTCTGTGGGTGTGTGTCTCTGTGTACTGATCATGTCCTTATGTATGTATTAATTACTAGCTATACGGGCAGCCATTGGTACTTCGAATGCCTGCCGTTGCTCCTCTGAGCGCTGCCATTAAAAGATATAACGTAGAAATCGCACGTCGAATGTTTGGCCTCTCCGCCACCGCCCTCGAGACGTACATGAATTATTTATTGTTAGAATGCCCGTTTTAGTCGTTACCCGTCCGGCTGGTTTTCGTACTAGACTCAAACAGGTGACACGCCGACGCCCCCTCTTCCGCTCATCTTGGTGCTTCCCTTCCAGCCGACTTTCTCTCATTTCGTCGTTTTTAGCGTTGTCCCATTGCACTGATAATGTCAAACGTCTCGATTCTGCCGAGTGAGGCCAACGAAGGTTATCTCCTTCAACGTCCTTCATGATATCTATGGATTTCTCGTGTGCGCGTGCAACCTGATAGTGACCTATGTGTTTCAGTCTCAATACGGACTTGGATCCGTTGCGTTGCCGTCTCTCATTCATGTTCTCGTTAAACGTGCACCGACAACGGCTTATAATTTACAAAAGACAGAGTACTATTTGAAAAGAACGATGTCCATATGTGCTACTGCATCTAAGAAATAGGCTTTGCCTTACCTACCATTGTCGCTGCAGAGAGCCATTGTGAACTCGTTAGACGACGGTTCCTTGCTAAAGATGAGTGATTCTCTAGCATGGAGGCCGTTCTCGTGGTTTTGTTGTATTGCGGCATCTTGTTCGGTGATTTGCTGGATTTGTTGTTGATTAACCAACGACTGGAGGCGTTCTGGGCGATGCTGGTGTTGTCCGAGATGACCTCTCGTTTGGACAGACGCGTAATGTGAAGCTGTATGATGGGTAAGATTTCCGATCCGGCCCTCCAAATCGGGGGGCGCTAAGGGGCTAAGATGGTGATCTACGGGAGAGTTAAGGGCACTGTGGAAGGCATCGTGGAGGGGGTCGAGTGCACTATTCAGGCTGCTCGTCGTATTGGCTGTCATTAGAGTCGGTGTTCTGTGAAATTGGCCTATATTGTGGTTTCCACCACGTGGGGGGTGATGAGGGATGCCAAAATGCAAAGAGCCATGGTGAAGGAGACCATTACTAGGCGGTCGTGGTGAGGGCGGCGACATAGGCGAGTCTGTGGCCAGCAACACTGAACGCCGAAATGTGTCAATCAGCTGTTCCAATTCCAAATGGTACGCGCTTCCTGTGAAGTGAAAAAAGGGCGTCATGTAATAACAGGCACAAGAAAAGAGATTCATTAGAAACTGTTATCCGATAGTTCATAATAAATATAATCTCAAGTAATATATATATATATGTGCATGTGTCTTTAAGCGCACCATTTTCATCTAATGCTGTCATGATACATGGTAGAAAAATCCAAATCAGTAGCAAATTTTGGCGTTGCGATCAAATAAAGCCGTTTACTTCCCGTACTGCCGTAAACGTCGACTACGTTTATATTACAGATTTCTACTACAAAACATAATACGATTCAAGGAGTCATTATCACAGCGCATCACTCTCTCTAACTGTGATTTCAATTAGGCCAAAGGCAATTGTATCAAACGAAAAAGGACAATATAATATGTTAAAGATAGGCCTAGAACAGGCTGATGTCAAGGTTTCAGGTGAATGTCGCTTTTGTTAGGAGCCAATTTAAGTGTTTCTAGTGTTGAAAATTGTCTGGAGAGTAAGGTTGGAAAAATGTTTTCATTGTGTTAACTAGACTTTTATACCAGGTTTAATAAAAAAGTTATAAGCGATATTTCCTTGAATGTAACAGACCTTTTCATATAGCTAATCTCGAGTAAAGTTTCAATACGTCAATTTTTCTTATATGAGGACTCTGTTATGAGCTTGCGGCGGTTTTTCAGTGGCGGGTTTTATTCCCTCCACTGAAAAACCGCTGGTTAAAAAGTTGATTTTGATAAACATTCAGCTTGTGATACACTCAAAAAGTAAAATATAAATGAAAAATTAAAGTATCATTAGTGACATTGAAAGCCTACCTGCCTTTTTATGTGACTACGCTGTTTTATTGTTGTTTGGTATTACTATATCTGACTGATCTATTGCACCCTATGTAACGGTAATTCGTTTTGCCGCATTTAAATGACGCCGTTCTTTCCCATAGCGAAATCTGGCGGTACGTTAAGCCGTTTGGATCAGATGAAGTCGAACTGGATAATAATAATTGATCTAATTTTTTGGACAGAATTGGTAACTAATTGTTCTAACACTGACGTAATTGGACTGATCAACGTAATCGTAGACTAACGCTTCAAACTTGTTAGGATATCCAAAGTTGCCATGACAACCCAGGACTGTAGTGACACGAATAATGCAAGTTCCGTTTGCACGCAAACAAATTGATTCTACCGTAAATTGGCGAAGCAAAGGCACGTATCTGTAGGGCGCCCTCTACTTCTGTTGTACAGCATAAATGTTATATATAAACAGATATAAACAGATTGATATTAACGTTCTTCTTGCAGTGTGACTTTCTCGTAGGTAGCGATTCCATTTTCCAGCTTTGATTCCGGCACCTTAAAGGAACCGCTTCTGCCGTTTCTCTTCGGCTCCCCAATGACTCGATCATCGAATTTTTCACCTGCACCCTCATCTAGATGTGCCTTAAGCTGCGACGGCCGACAGCCAAAAAAGCAGCAGTTGAAGAACCATGACTGCAGCAACGTTTGACGTTGCCTTTTTTCTGAGCAGTTGCTACAGCGTGTTGTTTTCTCTATTCGTTAGTCAGGTTGCTTCAGCTCCCCCTTAGCAGCCCGTCACAAAAGCTTAGATCTCGAAAGGCCTTTCGTTGTTGTTAACTACGCTGTTATACTCCGCTGTGTCTTGCGGCACCTTCCAAGCTGACTGCCTAGTTTACTGGATCACTGAACCTGTTCCATTACACCTCTAGGCAGTATGCAGGTAGCCAGGGAGAGTAGCGGGGGTTACACAAAACCGGGGGGCTGAGTGGGTTTTCTGCTATGCTGGCAAATCTCGAGTGCGTCGGGTATAAACTATGCCCTAGCCGTATTACGGGACTCGGCATCAATAGAACCAGGCAATACGAGTGCAAGCAACAACACCGTCAACTCACGCTAAAGGCACAGCGGTATTTAACGTACGTAGAGCACCTAAGCGGGTGCCTTGAGTAGGTCGTAAGCTTACCATGTAGATACAAACACTCTCACTACAAACTAGAGATAAATAACTCAGCTAAATATTTCTTCGAAACTAAATAATACAGTAACATGAAAAAAGCAACTGGCACACATACATACATGAATAGAACAATAAGACATTCCGTAAGTTCCAGCTCACATACACTACAAAGACAAAAAAAAACAATAAAACTTAGCATGAAATCGAACGTAAATTATCTATTTGATTAATGCTTTTCTGTGTGTACATTATCTATATGTGGAAATCGCAGCTTCCTAGGCAACCATTCATAAAAAGACCAATAAAAGTTAGTAAGTTAAATGCCCAAAACACTTCTAGTTTATATATGCTATTGAAATCAATTTCAAACCACAATGGGATCCAACGGTGGCTGAGAAAACTTCCAGTGTAAATACAAAAAATTAGAGAATACGAGGCGCTTGATGGAAGTAGCTATTGATCAATTTTGATTATCGAAATACATATATATATATATAGTATAAAATATATATAAATATACGTATAAAGACGCAGTTTTAGGTATTCACTTGCGTACAATAGTCAAAAACCTTATACGTGTACGTATATGTCCTATTATATGTGATTTTACTTTTCGTAGCTAAAATATAGGTTCAAATTAGAGCCCAACACTATGAAGTGTCTTTATTTAAGATTGATTTAAAATCATTTGCGATATGAAACTCAAGACTTTCTAATGCATCCACAAGGTAAGCCGTTAATAGTATATGGACTATCCAGACATCAATGAAATGTTCGTATAACAATCGAACACAACACAATAACATAAGACTTTTTTTTTTATTTTCAGCTAAAGAGAGCCACTTGAGGCCTTGTGTGTGTGTGTGTATGAGATTGTGAGAACCGTACATATACAGGTGCACTAACATGACTATCAATATATTTATTTAGAGTGCAACGGTAAACGTTCCAGCCCCCACGCTATTATTAAGTTATTGTTTTCTACCTAGTGCCTAGTGCGCGTGATTTCTTCACTTTCTGCCCTTCACTTATTGCCCTAACAGCCTGTGTAAATTATTATTTCGCGGAATTTTTTCATATTAAAATTTTATGTTATACTAAGTTAGATTTTTTTCTAGGTCGCCTAAAATACAATTTTGTAAACTATTTTGATGCATGAGTTTATTATGTTTGTATTGATCATCACTATCTAATAGGTCTACTGTATATATTGTCACTGTCTAATAGTATTGAAATTCGGAATAATATTGAAAGAAGTACACTTTCTGTATGTCAGGATCCATATGACGCTAGGTTCATAGTCTACAGTATTATAGTTGGTCCTTAATACCTGATCCTTACTCATTTACCAACTTTATGTACACAGATCTCATTACAACTTCCAACATAGCATGTATTTTTATTAGTAATTCCCGCGACACGATAGCTAATAAATCAATACTGAAAGTTTCATCTCTCCGAAAGAAAAATCCACTGCATATGAATGCGACTTGTTATTACCGTCGTAAGAGTATTTCATTAATATGTACATATGTGCATAATCCATTAACGTATATATCATAATAATAATTAAAGTCATCACACCCCATTCGTCATTCCCCTCTTCTTCCTTTTTCGTCATCCACTTTTGGGTAAAAAACGTTAGAAGTCAGCAAATAAAATAACTCATTAGCCCAGTAAGGCCTACAATCTAGCACGTATCGCACGTCCAGCACTAAGGCTTGCTTCCGCAACCTGCCTCTACTGATAAAAAGACATCATTCATCAGGGCCGTCTTGCTGCCAAGCGCGCGTTATGTTGGCCAGCTAACACATGGGGGCCTCTGAACGGGAACTGAACTGCATTTTCTACTATATCCGATAGACCCATAGCTGCTCAGTATAGTATTCGGTACAAGTAGAAGGAGAGTATAGGTGGTCAAGCAAGGGTAGCGAGGAAGGAAGGTTTGTAGGGGCTCGTAGTTGGGTCTTCCTCTAGTTGGTGCTCGCATGATAGTCCAGGGTCCGTGAACTACCGCAAGACCGGATAAAACCCGGCGACGAATGATGGCACAAGAATTTTCTGAATAATTTTGACGCTCGCAGCGGTGAAGTGTTTTCTTCCCTAACGCTTATCAGTGAGTGGAGAACAAAGCTAGCGACTGCGGGGCTAGGTAAAACCCACAGCTTAGCCATAACTGCGGCGTCGACGACTACGAGGGCGAAAAACTGAAACGCAGATAAGGTTACACTTGCGAGGCATAGTGACCAAGCAAGCTACACGAGAAAAGAGCCGTGAACAAAGGGAAAGTCGTTAGAAAGAACCCTGCAAAGAGACAACGACACAGAGCTATGCCGAAGTTTCCTCGTTGGAACTGGAAAAAAGATTCACCAGATCCAGGCTAGGACGCGAGTTATATGCGACAATGTTTTATAACTAAGCGCTGTTGTCATGGGACAAGGGAGACTTAGCTGGCTTTTGTGGCTTTTTATGCCGGTCGTAGAACATCATGAGATGTTCATGTCAAACCGTGCCTTCAAAATACAATGAAACGCAAGCGGCTGCTAAGTGGACCCTGGTGCTCACCGATGTAGCTCGCTCTACTAGTCTAATCCAGGTGCCAGCCAACACTCGACAACGGATGGGAGGCCCTTTACGGGGTCAGCGCCAACACTTATTGTAGCTAGCAGCCTTCACAGCCCATCTGAACTTTTACCCCTAATGTCTCGTAGGGTCCCTGTGCTTGCTATGAGTCTCTTCTGAGTTTCTTTTTTAGGTTAACGAAAACTGTATGGCCTGTCGCGCAAGAGCAGCACCCGTACCATTTGTAGAACGTACGCATCGTTAGTACATGGCCAGGATATTTTGGTATATAGGACTGGACTTCTTCGCCATAAACTCGCTTTCAGACGACAAGTCTCGAAATGACTGAACGACAGTGAGGGATTGTGATATCTGCAAATGGCATCTAAGTCCGCAATGCGACTCAGTTATTTTTCTATGTATGGACGCGTACACTCCTATGAGTATGCTGCCATATTTGTGATTTATAAACTCAACTATGTTTTCTCCTTTTAGGCCCATTTACTAAATAACCTTAGGTCGTTGCATCAATTATATGTTTCATTTGTAATTGAGAAAATCAACTTTTGACAGTGATTTTGGATGGCTGAATGACCAATACTGGTAGTCTGTCTTTTGACTTTAAAAAACAGTCGTATTTTTCCAGGCTAGTTTGATACATTGGAGACGTTTGAAGAGAACTTGAACACGAACTTGTATTATATGTTACTTAATTCATTTTAAACTGAACCATTTACATGGCCGAGTATTGAGTTAGCATCTTCCAATGGTAGCATTCTTGCCTTAGAAGTATCAGGTGTTGTACACGTGCATGTCAGGCCCAAACCAGCTATTTCTTGAACTTGCTAATTTGGTCCTGTCGTTCAATTGATAAATATATCCTCGCACTTCTCTATCTAGTGCATAATAGGTAAAAATTCGATGTCTAGAAAGATATTTACTTAGAAGATTGTCATTTCATCTAATACATCGGATTTAAAATTTAACCGCACTGGGAAGTAAGCGAACAATGGGAAGTACTTTGATTTCCCCACTAAATTCATGCTCCATCTAAAAAACATAATCTTAAACATATTTGTCTAAGCATAGTTAAACTCTATCGTCTACTTTTTTGTCGTTGTTACTGCTACTGTTAGGCTGACCTATATTTAGATATTTATAATTTTAGAAGCGAACTATTTACTGCCCGCCTAAGATCGTCTTCTTTTTCGGATGTGGCAGCAAATTGGGTCAGCAAGGTCAGACAGACAGATAATCTTTAATGCTAATGCTGGCCACGTTCCCCACCAGGACAGCGACCGTGGGGGAACGACGGTTTTGCTTTTCGTCTGTTTTGCGGGAGCACTTGGTTGAAAGTCGCACGCCATAATCCACTGGCTAATAGGGGCCAATCGAGGCCGGATAGACTGAACAAAGAGCAGGAGGCCGCGACCGCGTAATAAGCACAAGAAAGGGCAGGAAAAGGAAAAGACCGATCCTAAGAGCGAACAGATCGACTTGCATACGCACGACGTAACAACAGCTTTGAGGTCCAATGTTTACCCTGTTCTGGGGCCCAATGTGAGTTCCTCCGCTGGTAGAGTCCAGTAGGTTATCTCTGCCGAATAAATAGAAGCTCGACCAACGCCTTCTAACTGCACCAACCTTACTAACGCCCTTCCCTCCACCCTTCTTCGTACCCTCTTCTGCTTCACTGCAACCCTGAACAATTCCCCATCAGACCACTACTATCAGCAGTTAATGATAATAATAGCAGTAGGTGTAGAAGTGGAGACGAAAATAATGCGACCATATACTTCTTGTTAATGTATATTGTTTGTACGTTCTGATGCGCTGTGTTTGCTATGCTGCCGTACGCCGTCTAGACTGAACGAATATTTTTCTGTCCGTATATGACTTCCTACGCGAATTTAGCTATTTTTCGTTAGTTTATCTATTTGGTGGTGTTTTATCTACTGGCAACGCGATGCTAGGTTCTTTAAGACATGAACGCCTTATTCTCTGCATGGGGTTCTAGTTGAGTTTTATATTAAGGCTTTAGTATTTTGACGCATGTACTTGATAATACACAACTGTGAAGAGAATCATTTTTGTCCTTTGCGCTGTTTGGGTGGCTAGGAAGGGCATCTTCACATCAAAGACTGTTCCAGACTACTCGGCAATAAAGCTGTACAATCGCATAAAGCCAGAGTTGACTTCGACAGTCTCTGCATGGCGGCTCAGTACCACTCCTACTCGTTGCTGCGCCTCTCCGTAAATGATGAAAATACGTCGACGGCGATGAATGCCAGCTTTTTGGTTTGCCGACCCAGTTATCAAGCCCCACATTGGCCGTCTGCTCCGGAATAAGACGTACATAAGCCTGGTAAAATCAGCAAACATCTACGGATTTCTGCTTGATCTTATTCAGAATTCGAACGTTTGCATTTATATTTTTTTTCATTAAGCGAAACTCCCCTAAAGGGTCATCAGTCCCATCCCGGCCTTGCACCTTGCCCTTCGGCCTTGGCTCGGACAAAGGTACGACATAATAATAAATAACTATATTCTTATCTTTGTCCAACGGCCCCACGCGTCCAGCTCAGCAACGGAACCAGCACTGATATTCTAACAAGCTAACTTTTGATGTTTCTCATTAAAACCGCTATAACCTAGCACTATTGAATTTAATGGTGTTAATCGCTATTTAGTAACCGCATGCTTTGTCGCGAGTAATGTTTTGATAAAGAGGTTTATCCCAGACGTTTGTAAGTATCGAAAGGAGAGTAGTCCTCTTGATCCTGTCCCGTGTTATTCTACCTGTACGTAACCTTTAGAAACAATTTAGGACTGGCTATATTTATTAACCCTTATGAACAACTTACATACTTTGACCGAAGGCGTGCTTTCAGTGGAGTCGACCATCATCGGCTGTTCGGAAAGCTGCGAAGCCTAGCTATCCATTATTGCATAGTAAGACATTTTGATGCGTGATTCATCGCTTGTTTCGCTAGAGTCTAAATCGATTTTGTCTTTGCCTTCTAGGTTTCTCGACAGTAGTGATGGTTTTATGTTATTTTATAATCAACACAAAAAATATAATTTTGCCTGACGTTAAATACGCTAATTGGTTAAATATTTATTATTTTATTAAAAAACCCTGCTTTGCAAAAAAAACTTTTCAATAATCGTTTCACAGCTTTGTTTGTTGATGCAATCAGATTGGTACATATCGTAACTATCGATACGAAAGTGTTTAATTTTAAGAATGGTACCCTCGATCACAACTATTAAATCTGAGACACGATCTCATTTTTTGAGACCCTGGTAAGTAATAAAGGTGTTTTTTTTTTGTTAGAAATGAACTTTTTCAAGCAAACATGTCCACTTTCAATCTAGTCATCTCAGGCTATTTTAACAAACCATATATATATATATATATATATATATATATATATATATATATATATATCTACATATAAGTTGATTACCTGCATTGGACTGCCGACTGATGTTGCTGGCCGAACTCCACTTGTGGCGGCTCTTTTCACTCAGACCAACACTCGAACCCCACCGATGGAAACGCGGTAACGAATCCATCGAGTGTAGTTACGTCTGTATATGAGGTAAAAGTGGTATGTCTACAAGCGTTCGGTGTCGCTTAAAGCAGTGCGCTATCTTCTGACAACAAGAGATTGACCAAACAACAACTCGTTAGCTATCTCTGCCGCTCGTCGATTTCTCCAGATTTTATCTAAATCACGTCCATACATCACATGCGATCCGAGTCTTCCGAGTCGCGTCGACTCTGTTGCGCTCGATGGACGCCAAACGGCATGCGCCCATTAACGATAGTTGGCATCCAATGGTACGTACCAGCATGCCGGTCGCGACGTTTCTTCCGCTCCACAGTCTTTGCCAGCCTTTACCATCTTCCACTCTTCTGATGAGCACGCAACAATTGGTTGAAAAACGTCACAGCAATGTCATAGTCATGTATTGTAGATCTTCTAGATCGATTCAATACCTGCAAACAAGACATTGTTAGAGACTTATGTCTTTCGAAATTATATATATCCAGGAGCCACGTGTTACAGTTACTATTCTGTGAGAGACCTTAATCTTAGCCTGCAATATATATTTAATACGAACTACTAGTTGAAACTGCAGGTGCAGTCCACTCCGCTCCTAAAATTGAGAAAATCTATATTGGCCTAGCGTTCATTAAAGTTTTTTTTTTTGTATTTTTAGTTACCTACTGAATACGTTGGCTCTGTAATGCGTACGAGCATTTCTGTCGATAGTTCGATACAAGACCAAACACTACCAGAAAGCATATGCTCTGTATAACCTTGCGATAACTGCTCGCAGGATATATAATGCACATCAACGTGCACGATAGGTGCCGTCGGACACGATCGGACGTCCTATCTTCGACGGCTTATATCAACTACAGTACAATGCGAAATACAACGTAAAGTCCGGCTACAATTATAGGTGAGCTACTAAACAAATTTCTATGCTCATTAAAAATTCATTCATATTAAACCGCGCATTGCTACAAGCTCCTTTCGGGAAATTTAGGCAACGCATTGTATAGATCACGGAACAGGTCATCGTATTAGGCCGACTCGCATACCATATACCACTAGTGATAAAAATAAATCTAATTATTTCTCTAATAATTCTGCTTTAATAACAAATACACAGGTTCAACACATATATTTGAATTTGCTTGGTAGAAGTAAAATCGAGGCTTTTTAGGTTTCCAATGCGTTGTGGCATCGCTTACTTTTTTTTTTTGTTATTTAAACAATTAGCAGTGCATCAGAATATTGATCCGCGCCACAAAATAAAACTATTCGCTAAATAACTGTCGAATTTAGCCGCTTTTTAAGATTATAGATTTTTTTACACAGTTCATATGAACAGGTAAAAAAAGAAGTGGGTTAGAATTGTTCTCACGCAATGTGAAGTCTTCGAACAAAGCTTTTTCTTTTCATTTCATTGATGTGACCCGAATACGTTCACTCTATCCTGAGGCAGGCAATTTCTTTGAACTGTACACAGGTCGCCAGTGCATCCGCGATCACGTCACTGGATTCGACCCGTACTAAAAGATGGTCTCGTTATAATTTCAGGGTTATGTAACTAAGATAACCCTATTAAATTAGTTCATCGCATGCGATTGAGAGCGTATGGAACTAAGGGGTGAGGCGTAAGAAGCGACTGCCGATGTTGAGTTTACGTTATAAACTAGCACCAAGCAGTTATGAAAAGATATTTCCTAGACGCAGTTCGCTATGTTGATAACATTGTTTTCGAATATATATGACAAACTTTTTACTTTTATTTTCTCTCTTTATTTAATCATACATGTCGTGTAGTATATGTCGGTACCTTATTATAGTCATTTCTAACTCAACTTCCTTAGACCATTAACTTGTGCGCTGGCAGTATTTGTTACTCGCAGCTACTTCTTTAGAAACACGTAGAGCGTACAGATAATGCCGGCAACCTTACTATCAGTCATCGGTTTCTTCATGGCTGGACATTTAATCAACTTTAATAATATCTCCAATAAACAGCTAGTCCGTCGAGCTAATGGTATTCTATTTTTGAATCAGAAGCTTAGAATTTAGCTCTAGCATATTTTAAGAAATTGTGTTCCTTTCGAGATAGGCAACGTTTCTTTGTAGGCTGCCCGCATGGAAAACCTACTCTGTGGAAACTCTGATACACGAATTGTGTTACTTTATATTATTGAGAAAAAAAAACTAAATATTCATAAACTTATATTAACTCTACGAGAATCACTTGAGTTTTCTTGGTGATTAAAGTGGTCTTTTGTCCCTCACTACCATACACCATGGGTCTTTTGACCCGCGTTGACCTCGATGTCAATGGCACCGGTTCAGCGCATCGTCGAGGTTAGACCGGGTCAAGCTAAGTTAATAGTGCCGCAGTCTCTGACCTCCTCCTACGCGCCTCTGACCCTTAATCTCCTGGGTCAGCAGAGGCTCCCCAAAAGCTTTTTGACCTGACCTCAAAAAGCCCAGTTCAATTCGCACCGTAAGAGGACTTGTATGCATTTATTATATAGAGACCTTACACTATCGCTGCGGTAACCTCAGCCGTGTCGAGGTCATCTTAGCTTTCATCTCACGGCCAAGGTTGCATGACGATTCGTTCAGATTACATATATAGATGTGTATGTGTGTGAATTAGTGTATGTATGTAACTTGGAGGATCGCTACAATAAATGAAAACCGGAACTAAATAGTCGGCGTGAATTCGTCGTATCGGCTATTGATGAAACGTATGACGGTACACATGTTTACAGATAGACGGGCGCATAAAGCTGCAGAGAGCCTTCCGCTTCACTCGCTACCCAACCATCGTTTTTGTCCTAAGCGACTTCAGCAGAAGCGAATAGAAGAAAAAAAGTCAGGGTGTAATCGATGCGTCTGAGAAGCGATCTGGAGGAAGCGTAAATTGAAAAGTAACAACTTACTGCTGATACTCGCGCAATGACAGCTGTTTCAGTACTAGCAGTAGCCGTGGAAGTAGTGGGAAGTGGCTAAAATGTTAGTCGTAGCAGGTGAGAAATAACGACCTCCGATGGTAGATAGATTGTAAAGCGGCCCGCTTAAGAGTAAAGTGTTTGAACGGTGTATGAATGAGTGTCGGGCTGCTGTTGATTCGGAAGAAGCAAGAGCTGACATAGCAGCTGTAACGCACGCGGACATGCCAAAGCGGCTCGAATAAAGCCAGCAAACGTAGCGGTACAGGAAAGAGTGAGAAACAGAGTTAAAACAAACTATAGGAAAGTTTAAAAGACTGAAGGGAGAACTCTGCTGAACCTCGAGTAGAAGGCGTCGATAGAAAAGGCGATGGTGGAGGGCTAACGTCGCCACGCAGAAAAGTTGAGGGCAGCACCGCTGTCGTGGACGAAACGTAGTAAAAAAGCAAATAAGGAGAGGGAGAGCACAAAGGACTCAAAGGGGTCACCGATCGAAATGAGCCTGATGGCCACTTGAAGGAGGCCAGCCACCGGAAGGGGAAGAACGGATAGAAAAAAAAAGCGGAAGGGAACGGGAACAAGCGAATATGCTAATAGTATAATTATAGGTAGGTAAACCCGTCAAGTGTTTTCGGCATAGACAAGCACGCCGAACTTGGTAGATGCAGGCAAGTGGTAATAGATGAACGAAGACTCAGACCGGGCGTACTCAGCATCTGTAAGAAAAGTATACGCCAGAAACTACGGGTAGTTTTAAGCAAGCTGCCAACTATAAGACAGTTCATAATCCCACAAAAATATTTGACTATTAATATACACAGCTCGAATTGTACAGTAACGGCGCTTAACTGACTGATCGAAACGAAACGCATCTATTGAATTTTAATGAAACCAAACATGCAAATGGCGCCACCCTCTCCAAGGCACCCGCTCGGCCTAGTTATGATCCCAAAAGCCTAAAAACATTTTGTCTCTCCGGAGAGGATGCAGCTAAGCCAGCTCTGTAGTGCGTTGCTTTTGGCTTGGGTCAATGCTCCACCTAGGTCAAATCAGGGTAGGCACAGCGCAGTATCCACAACCTGTGTCCTGCTTAAACCTCCGGCTTCTCGACCTAGTAGTGTTAGGCAGATTTGTAATTAGGTCAGTGACCCAGTAGCCCAGTTCAGAGTCTTCGCGTCACCCCCTGTGCGGACACTCGAAACTGCCACCCTACATTAGCGACTTTGAAGAGGGTAGATCGCAGAAGTTCGATAGCAAGCTAGAAAGGTAGGAAGCAATAATTTAACGGAGCTTAGAAAAGAATGAATACGGGGTTCGTTGTGTTCGAAAGGATTAAATTGAGCCCAGTGAGCTGCATTTGGGTTGAAAGCAGGTCTGTTTCGTCCGAGCTAACAAGTTGTAGGTACGTTAACGACCGTTAAATGGAAATTGGTCATTTACGGACTTTGCAAATGCCTCGCTCCTGGTTATGCGTGGCAGTTTATTGTAGGATGTACAGCAGCGACACGACTGTTACTATCGTCGTCCATTGAGATGCCTTCGTTTGTATTCTCAGTGAAGTCGTACTAGCACAGGTCGTCAGTGTACGAGACCTTACAGTTTGAATGCATTTATCCACGTCACCGAATCGCATCGTCGTTCGTCGACATTGATACGCACCACGAGAAGTGGCGCTTGTAAATGCGTCTCGACGTTATGCACGTAACACGTTCGCGACGTGCTTCGCATATAAAGTGATACAAGTGGCCGACCAACTTTTGCGTCTATTGCGTAGCTGGTAGGCTACAAGAATACCCACATTGTTCATGGGCGAGCCGTTTTAGATAGAATGGGTATTACGCTTGTCTAAATGGTGGGTTTGCTGAACCACGTCAACTAATTTGTATGACCTTCCTCTGTATCCGTCAGGCTTTTACACTATGCCGAAAGTTAGCGAGATGGTTAGAGGTAAAGGGTTAGAGAAAGACCCCACCGAGCGGCCCACCCCCCACATCGGACCAGCCAAAGGCTTGAAGCTCGGAAACGGTTGTGTTTGACAAAACCAAGGAACAGCCGTCTCTTAGTTAAAATTGGTAGTGCCGCATATTTGAGACTTCTGGATGAGAAATTGCAAGCAGGGTAGTTCCGATATTAAATCGTAATCCGTTTGCACCTTCACAAGATTGGTCCGAAACTGGAAAACAGAGGACCCATTTACTATATATATACCCTAATATTAACTTAGGGTCTTTTTAATACGTGAAATAGTGTTTTTTTTTTGTACAAGTCAAATGTATTTTATGCTTACAATTAGTGTCACTTTACTAATCAATGTAATGTACTAAGTTAACTTGTGAAGATTTGAAAATATAAGTGTCACTCACGTTACACCAACTTTTATCTATATGTTATTAAGTAAACTGACTGACGAACTGACTTTTCATTTCCGTTAATCAACTAGTAAATTAACCACTTAATAGCCAACTTGAAGTGTACATTAACGAGCATATATAGCGTAGATTTGT